GAACTCACAGAGATCCGCCTGCCTCTGCCTCCCGAGTGCTGGGATTAAAGGCGTGCACCACCACTCCTGGAGTAAAAGAACATTTTAAATGCGTGTAGGGGTCATAGAAAGCTTGCGAGATGCTTGTCCCAGGGGAGGTAAGCACTGGGAAACTCCACAGTGACCAGGGCACGCTTCGCCCCACTCGTACCCCTCACACGTGTGAGGCCTTGTGCTACCCAGCAGGCCCCGCGGCAGCGCGCATGCGCAGATCCCAGCGCCAGGGTTGTGCACGCGGAGGAGAGCCACGCTCTGGAGAGCCGGGTGGGAAGGTGCTTTTGTGTTTGCGGCAGAAAGCAGGCTGAACGGTCCAGTGTGAAGACTGGGTGGTGGGTGAGTTCTGGAGAGCTGGACCCACCTCTATGACCCACCAGGCCTCGGTGAAGGCCACCAGGCAGGGCAGGGAGGTCGAGGTCCCAGGGCTGGACCAAGGCCCGGGCTTGCTGTGTAGCCAAGGCTTGCCTGGAACTAGGGACCCTTCTGCAGCCCTCAGCCTCCCCAGGGCTGGGGTTCCAGGTGTGGGCCGTGCACCGCTGCAGCAGCATTGTTGACATGATTTGTCAGCTGATGAATGTGCTCTTAAAATCTTTTTATGTCTGCAGTGTGCTTGGCTGTCCGTATTTGCCAAGTATGAGGTGTAGACATGATTGACTCAAGAGTGATTTTTCTTTAAGTTAAATGACAAAAAAGATGGGTTTAATTTTTACTTGTTCTTTTTGACATTAGTAACATTTGCAACTCTGTATAGAACTTTATTTTTACCTTGCGTGTATGAGTGTATTGTCTGCGTGTATCTAAGTGCACTTGTGTCGTGCAATGCCCCAGGAGGTCGGGAGAGGGTGTTGGATCCCCTGGAACTGGAATTACAGATGGTTGTTAGCTGTTCCGTGGATACTGGGAATCAAACCAAGTCCTTTGCAAGCAGTCAGTGCTCTTAACCGATGAGGCATTTCTCCAGCCTTGGATATATAACCTTTTTTTTCCTTTCCGGTCTTTTTGGAGACAGGGCCTCCCTGTAGCCCCAGCTGACCTGGAACTCAATGTGTAGAATAGGCTGACTTCGAAATCACAGAGGTCCACCTGCCTCTGCCTCTGTAGTACTGAGATTAGAGGTGTGTGCCACTATGCTTCTTGTTTTTCTCCTTGGCCTTTGTACAAGGAAAGAGTATAATATTGTTGGCTGAAATAATATAATTACAGTAAATATAAAACAAAATGTTCATTATTTTGTGAAATCAAAAGCACATTTTATATTTTCTTAAGTCATGCATTGCAGTTGGACTTACCTTTTAATTTCTCCTTATTAGACTCTTTTGGAGACCTCATCATGTCTTTGTGCGAAGACATGCTGCTTTGCAATTACCGAAAGTGTCGCATCAAGCTCTCTGGTTATGCTTGGGTCACTGCCTGCTCACACATCTTCTGTGACCAGCACGGCAGTGGTGAGTTCAGTCGTTCACCAGCTGTCTGCCCTGCCTGCAACAGTACTCTTTCTGGAAAGCTGGATATAGTTCGTACAGAACTCAGCCCATCAGAGGAGTACAAGGCCATGGTATTGGCAGGGCTGCGACCAGAGGTTGTGTTGGACATTAGCTCCCGAGCATTGGCCTTCTGGACATACCAGGTTGGTGCTTAGGATAGGTTCTCTTAAGCATGTGGTTTGAATGACTTGGGAATCCTTTGTGTGTCATTTGAGAGGCTGGAACTCAGTGAGTAAAATGCTTGCCAGGCAAGCATGAGAAACTTCTGCCAGAGTGGGCTGTGGTGAGTGATAGAAGGCACCAAACTTTGGCTTCCACATACACATGCACACTGAAGTACAATGAGGCATATGTGGTATTTTTTTTCTTGGTTCAACTCAAAGCCTTGTGTTTCCTAGTCAAGTACTAAATTTTCCTTCACTATTTAATATATCTTATATACTTATCTGGATGGATAACTTTCTTTAAATATTTTAATTTTTTCCAAAATAATGCTTATTGTTTAAAATCTAAAAGGAAATCACAAACCATGTCATCGTGTAGAGCTTGCCATTGTTGATCATTTTCATTTTGGCATACCTACATAGTAAAAACTGTACAAAAATGGGACAGTGCCACACATTCTCCTTATATGACCAGTTAAAGTTCATAGGCGAGTGGTAGATAGAGCACTTGCCTAGCATGCAAAAAAAACGAAACCAAAAGAGCCAGGGTGTGTGTAGTGCATGCCTTTAATCCCAACACCTGCAGAGGTAAGTATACAGAGGCCAGCCTAGGCTACATAGCACATTCCAGGCCAGCTGGGGCTACAGGGAGACCCCTGTCTCAAAAAACCCAACAGAATCCCCTCAACATAACCTTGATACTGAAATATCTGTTACGAATATTTTGCTAAATATTTTCAGTTCACTATTCTATAATCCTATAATCATAATTCTAATGATCATATTCTATAATTGAATTAAAGTCTTATAATTAAAAAATATTTTGCTGGATGTGGTGACACATGCCTTTATTCCCAGCCCTTGGGAGGCAGAGACAGGTGGATCTCTGTGTCCAGCTTGGTCTACAGGCCAGCCCCACTACAGGGTAACATGGTCTCAAAAAAGCAAAAAAAAAAAAAAATTTTATGTGTGTTTCCTTTCATGCATGTAAGTGCACCCATGTCACACAATGCCCAAGGAGGTCAGAAGGTGACGTTGGATCCTCTATAACTGTAGTTACAGACAGTTGTTAGCTGCCATGTGAGTGTTGGGAATCAAACCCAGGTTCTCTGCAGTAATCTGTCAGTGCTTTTAACTGCTGAGCCATCTTTAGTCCCTGATAATTTTAAAAGATGAATCAAAGCTTTGGTGATATCTAAAAGTCACTGCCCAATCCAAGGTCTGTGATTCATTCTGACTTAATTTTGTGAAGGTATAACATCTGTGTAGATGGCATTGGGGCCTAGTTTTTTGCTAGCAATTTTGCAGTTACTTCATCCTGGGTTTTCCTAACATGGCTTCTGCTCCAAGTCAGATAGGCTTTGTAGTTTTTTGTTTTTTTTTTTTGAGACAGGGTCTCCTTGTAGCCCCAGCTGTCCTGGAACTCACTATGTAGACCAGGCTGGCCTCTGAACTCAAAAATATCCGCCTACCTCTGCCTCCCAAGTGCTGGGATTAAAGGCGTGTGCCACCACGCCTGACTTTGTAGGCTTTGTAGTTTTATGTACATCCTGAGTTATATTCTAGTTACAAGTACTGCCCACAGTTGGTACACAAGCTGTAAGTGCTAGGATGCAGTGATAATTGGGCCTGTTAGTTTTTACATTCTGCATTGTTGAAAGGATTTTGTGTGTGTTTGTGTTTTTTTTTTTTTTTTTTTTTTTTTTTTGGCTTTGAGACAGGGTCTCCCTATAACCTCAACTGGCCTGGAGTTCACTAGACCAGTGATCTGCCTGCCTCTGCTAGGATTAAAGGGGAGTGCTACCATGCCTGGCTCTTGATTGTTTTGGTTTTTTTTTTGAGACAAGGTCTCCTGTAGCCCAGGCTGGCCTTGAGTTTTCAGTATGGATGAGTATGACCTTGAACTGGTCCTCCGGCCCCTATCTACAAGCTGGGACTAGGTGTGTGGTACCACATGACTTGGGATTAGTTATATTTATAAAACTATGAAAGTGCATGTCATTTGTTAAGTAAGACAAATACTTGTTTTGGTGGTATAGTTGTAGTTTGAGAATAGTTGAGAGTTGTAGTTTGTAGTTGTATGCACTTAGTAATATAACACTTTCAGTAATCACCTTATTATTATCCTGATTTTAAAAAATGTGCTTCTAAATATTGTAGTACTTATCCTGCACAAGCATTGTGTATCAAGTTTTACAGGTCTATAACTTTGTGCTTATTTGGACAGGTACACCAGGAACGTCTCTATCAAGAATACAATTTCAGCAAGGCTGAGAGCCACCTGAAGCAGATGGAGAAGATCTATACGCAGCAGATACAGAGCAAGGATGTAGAATTGACCTCTATGAAAGGGGAAGTCACCTCCATGAAGAAAGTGCTAGAAGAGTACAAGAAAAAGTTCAGCGATATCTCTGAAAAACTTATGGAGCGCAATCGGCAGTACCAAAAGCTCCAGGGCCTTTATGATAGTCTCAGGCTCCGAAATATTTCTATTGCCAGCCAGGAAAATACCCTCGAACCAGCTGTGATTCCACACTCTGGTGTCTTTGGCTTTCCAGGAGGTAAGAAGAAACATGGTGTCTGATACCTGTTCACACTGCTACAAACAGTAAGGGTGGAGCCGAGGGGTAAGGGTGGGTTCCCTTGCCCATGTCTCCTGGGCATTGCTGCCCTCATTCATGTTGTATGCATATGAGTTACATTTTAATTTGAGAACAATTGATCTCTGCAAAATAAAAGATTTCAAGTTGTATTTTACAAGTTCTTTAGTGATAATAATAGGAGTGGTCATCTATTCCTTAGTAAGTGCTAAGGATGGCTGCATTTCAGGTTGTCATGTGATTTGCAGAGCTGAGGGGTGTGCTATTATGCTTGCTGTACAGACAAGGCTGAGGTCAGGGTCACACTCTGTCCTTTTAGCCAAATTTCCCTCAATTTGCCAGGTAGCTCACAGTTTCTTTCACATGAATATATATATATATATATATATTTTTTTTTTTTTATTTATCCCTGTCATTCCTGTGTGTCTGGAAGACAGAAGAAGCAGGCAGGAGGGCCTTGAAGTGTAGTCTGACATTCAGACCTGCCTGGAGGACCCCGGCATGAATATATTTTTATTTAAAAATTTTAAAATATATTTTTAAATTTTGTTACATTTATTGAAGTTGTGTGTCTGTATATGGGTGTACACACGCAGCATGAGGGTCCTGGGGAGAGATCTTAAGTCATCAGGCTTGGTAGCAAGTACCTTTACCTGCTAAGCCATTTCCCTGCCCTACCCACCCCCCTCACCAATATTGATTATACAGTTAAAAAATTGTTTTTGGTGGGGCTAGAGAGGTGACTCGGGCCAAAAGTACTGGCTGTTGCTGAGGACCCAGATTCATATCCTAGCACGCACATGGTGGCTAACAACCATTCACACCTCCAATTCCAGGGGATCTGATGCTCTCTTCTGTCCTCTGCAGGTACTGCATGCCATAGGTGCACTTATAGGTGCAGACATAACACTCATATACGCTGGGCACTGAGTGCAGGTGGTGCACTTACATGCAGTCATCTACATAGCAAAATTTTTGAGATGGTGGCCATCCTTGGATGATGTATCCCAGAAGGTGTATTCTGTGGTGAGGGGAGTGGGTGAGTGAGTGACCATCTTGTGTCTATCTGGTGTGAAGTCTGTATTTTTTTGATAAGAGATGAATTTTGTTAAATTTCATTATCTGTGTCATAGGAGTTGAATTCTGTTAGAATATTTATTGAATGGCTTTTGTCTTTGTCTTTATTCTCATGTTCTTCCCTAATTCCCCCCCCCCCTCCCCCCCCAGGGAACAACTCCAAGTTTCCTTTGGACCATGCGCCAGTTCAAAATCGGAGTGGTGGAGATGAAGATTTTCAGTTCAGACCATTTCTCGTGGGTTCTCCCACAGCACCTGAACCCAGCAACAACTTTTTTAGTTTTGCCTCTCAAAGTCATGAGTTAGAACAGCAGCAGGTCTGTAGCAGGGCCTTCAAAGTGAAAAGAATCTAGTTCATTTTCTGTGCAGAATGTTTGTCTGTGGTGATTTTGATGTCATACACTTTATTCTGGGTGGGCCTTGAAGTGTCGCCGTGGTGTCGTCCTTGAAGGTGCCTTCCTGTGGATGGTTTCTTTCTTTCTCTTCCTTAGAGCATGAGCATTTCATTAGTTGTAATTTCTGTCTTCACCAATGGTGAAACAGTCACAGCACTGTTTCCCAGATCACTGTTTCAGGCCACTATTTTGTGCTTGTGTGTGTGTGTAAGAACCAGTATGCTTACATGCCACTGTGGACTCTGGTATTTGCATGTATGTGTGTGTATACTTTGTATTTGCCAGTATATTTATGTAAGAATTATGGTCTTGGAAAATGCTGTCTACTTGGCTGTACTGTACATTGTTAGATGTTTTCATAGCTGCTTATTTGGAGGTGTGCTTCTGCCAGTGAAAGCGCACTTGACGCCTGTATATTCAGTTTCTCCTTATTTAGGTAAAGTGGTTTTTTTTTTTTTTTTTTTTTTTTTTTTTTTGGCATTTGTTTTAAAATAAAATCTTCTTTGCCTTTATCAGTTGACTTGTTTTGGATTTATTTAGGAATGTACTTTTTTTTTAAAGTTTTTTTGAGACAGTCTTCCTGTCTGGCCTGGAAGTAGATCTGCCTGCCTCTGCCTCCCAAGTGCTGGGCTAAAGGTGTGCGCCACCACGCCCAGCATTAAAAGATTTAATTTTACATTTTAAATGATGTGTGTCTGTGTGGATTACATGCCCACAAATGGGGTGTCCATGGAGGGGTTGGAGTCCCTAGAGCTGGAGCTACAAGTGGTTGTGAACCACCTGGCAAGGTTCTGGGAGCTCAGTGTACTACAAGAACAGTTTGCTCTGAGCCATCTCTTCAGCCCCAGAAATAGAGAAATTTATCAATGTTACTGTTCATAAAAGATAGTAACATAATTTGGGATATTTCTTTTTTAATTTATTTTTAGCAGGCTTAAGTCACTTTATTTTTTTTTTTCCATAAAAGCCACAGCTGGAACTTGGGGTTTTCTGTACAGAGACTCTGGTGTGGGTTTTCACAAGATGGTCTGAATTCCTGATAGGGAGACTTGGTGAAGACCGTCTCTTTCCAGAGGCCAGGGCTCAGATAGCTGTAGGTCTTGGAGATGGCATCAAAGGTGGCCTTGGTGAAGTTGGCCAGGGTGGCCGTGCAGCCCTGGCTGATGTACAGCAGTCATCAACACCACCAGCAGCAGCAACTTCTTGGCACAGGAGCAGAGATGATGCAAGTGCCTCTGGGCAGGCCTGAGGGGCACCAGCACAGCCACAGTGGTCTTTCACCTTGGGTGGGTCCTTGTGAGGCTTGCCAATTGTTTCCCCAGGAGCCTCTCTGCACAGGTAAATGGAAAGCTTGGCCAAGATCATGGCCTCTCGAATGGCAGTGGCTACCTCCTTGGAGCACTTTAGACTCAGACCTACATGACCGTTGTAGTCTCCAGTGGCGACAAAAGACTTGACCCTGGTCCGCTGCCCATCTGAGCCTGCTTCTGCACTGGCATGATCTTGAAAACCTCATCCTTAAGAGATGCTCCTGGGAAAAAGTCAATCTCAGATTCCTTAGTGGGCAGGGAGAGAACAGGTAGATCCCCCCCAGGGACTTGATCTTCATGTCCTTGACCAGGAGGCCCAGCTTGGTGATTTGAGATCCGCTCTTCAGCTTTGCCTCCATGAGCTCCACAGCCCCAGAGACTGCTACCAAATTCTCCATGGAAGCCGACATGGCGGGTCCAGGTCCACGGGCCTTCCCGCTGCACCGGTATCCGCCATTTGGTGTTTCCCATGGAGGAAGGGGACATTTATTTCTTATTTACCCTTATGTAGTATTTATGACTTAAATTATGCTTCACTAATTATTAATAGTGCATTTAATTAGTGTCTTGTTAGAGGGCAGACTTAAAAGCATACTAGTTGGTTAGGCAGAAGATCTGAGTTCTAAATCTTTGCTACCCTCCACACACATACTAGTTTGAGATTAACCTTTCAAGGCTTTGGTTTTTGTATCTCTGAAAAGAGAGAGCCTTTTCTCTGTGCCTGTGCATGCATGTGCATTTATATGTGTGTGAATGTAGACACCTGTGTGCCATGGCCTATGTGTGGTAGTCAGAGGACAAGCTCCTTAAATCCTTGCTTTTCACCTTGTTTTAAGACAAGGTCTCTTATTTTTCCAGGAGCTTCCTGAATTTTCCTGCCTCCCTCAAATCTTTCTGTAGGAGTGCTGGGATTATAGATGCTCCTGTGTCTGTCCTAGTTTGCTTTCTGATGCTGTGATATAACTGATGAAAACTGACTTGGGGATGAAAGGGTTTGTTTCACTTATACTTCCAAGGCAGGATCCATCTTTGAAGGAAGTCAGGTAGGAACCTGGAGGCAGGAACTGAAGCAAAGACCATAGACCATGGCTGCTTACTGGTTTGTTCCCTCTGGCTTGCCCAACTTGCTTTCTTTAGCCCAGGACCACCTATCTAGGGATGTCCCTTCACAGTCGCCATTACCTCCCACATGAACAGCAATTAAAATGGCCTTACAGACACAGACACATCCCATTTTGATCTGGGGAGCTCTTTGGTTGAGGTTCCCTCTTCCCAGGTGACTAGTGTTGACAAAAACTAAACCGCAGTGTTAACTTTAAGTGGGTCTGGGGATTTGAACTCGGGTCCTTGTTGCAAGTGGTTTTACTCACTGAATCATTTCCCCAGCCCAAGCCCTCTTAAGTTTTATGATTGATTCTTACTAGTTTGGAATGAATTACAGAATTATCCTAAATGCCAAGTAAGATTGTTGTTGAGGTAATAAATGTAACACTGGAATCATCAACAACTGCTTTACATACCTGAGCATACTGCTTGTTCTTATATGTATGAGTGTTTTGCCTGTATATATGTAAGTGCACCTGTCATGGAGTGACCATGGAGACCAGAAGAGGGCATCAGGGACCCCTAGAACTGAGTTATGGATGGTTGTTAAAAAAAAAAAATCATTGCTTAACTGAGATTATCTCTGGAAAGGGGTGCTGGGAACTGAACTGGTTTATTCTGCAAAAACAACCAGTGTTTTTAACCACTGAGCCATCTCTCCAGCCTCACCTCTTTGTTTTTTGTTTTGTTTCGTTTTGTTTTTTGAGACAGTAGCTGTGATCTGATCTTCCTGCCTCCACCTCCAAAGTCCTGAGGTTCTTTACAAGATTAATTAAGTACAGATTTGTTTTTAAAATTTCTTCCTTTCGCTCACCTCCCTCTGCTTCCCTGGGCCTCCATGACCCACGGGCTCTCTCTCTATGGGGTAAGTCGATTCCACCTTGACTCCCCCAGCCTCACTCACCCTCCCATCGCCCCTGACAGTCTCTCCTCCTAGTCTGGGTCCTGTCCCATTCCTTGTCTTGGTGCCCCAGACACCTGGGGAACCACCACTGCTTCCTGATCCTGTGAATCCAGAGCAACTCAGTTCCCAGGAACACTGCTTCTGGGCCTGGCCCAGCCCTCACCTCCCACTGCTTCCCTGGGCCTGCACCACCCGCCAGCCTCTTTCCTGTATGCTGGGGCTGACCTTTCCTCTTCCTGGTCCTTCCTTTGCATCCAGACCAACCCAGTTCCTCAGTGCAGTTCCCAGGAGCCCTTGGGGCCTCTTCCTGCCCCCATCTCCCTTTGCATCTCCGGGTGGCATGGCCACCAGCTACTCTAGACCAGCATCTTTCCTGGGCTCAGCTCCCGAGCCAGTCCAACCCCCAAATTCCTGAGGCCAAAATCTTTCCTGGAGGGATCAAGACCTTAGGAGAAAGCCTGAGAGCATCTGATCCTCATCTGACATGGGCCTCTGTGGGAACCCCTGAAGACAAAAGCAACCTGGTCATTCCAATATAAAATCAAAAGAGAACTGGAAGCTTAGGGAACCAGCTATTCATGCCCAAAAAGTAAACCACAAAGACACATAAAGTTTACAAAAAGAAG